CAGTGCATCAGTAACTTCAAATTCCTCCAGGTGCTATTTCTATTTTATGTTTAGTGTGCACCCTACTGTGGCTGGCTTGGGGGAGGAGTAGTTCTCTGTGATCCTGCTCCACCCTCAGCTTTCAGCAGACCCTGCATAAACCAAGGCAAACTCGTTGCCATCGAGTCAATTCTGACTCATAGTGACCATATAGGACAGAGCAGAGCTGCCCCATAGGGTTTCCAAGGCTGTAATCTTTACAGGAGCAGACTGCCACATCTTTCTGCCACGGAGCCGCTGGTGGGTTAGACCCACCAACCTCTTGGTTAGCAACCAAGCGCTTAACCACTGTGCCACCAGGGCCCCTTAGACCCTGCATACTTGTGCCATTTGTTTGTAGGGAGTCTCTCCACACTCTTGCCCCTCCCCCAGTGGTACAGCACTGTTGCTTGTTACTCAGGGAGAGGCTTATGCTGGGGGCAATGAGGAATCTTGATTCTTCTGGTCCCTCTTCAGTCTGAGGCAGGCCCTATGCACATGGCCCTGAGGGTTGCAGTTTTCTCAGTGTTTCTGCCCTCTCTCTTTCCCATGGCAGCCAAACTCTGCCTCGTATCTGTGGGTGGTCTTAGGCTGGAGGAAGTTTTTCTAACTCTCTCCCACTGGGAGCAGACCTCTGCTTTGTATCACTGCAGGATTCAGTGCCAAAGCTGACTCTCTGCCTCACACCTAAGTACAGATGGCTTTGTTTCTGCCTCACCCTCAACAGCAGTGTACCTTTGCGTGGGCCCCATGGCAGAAGGGTTTCCTGTCCCTCCTCCAGAGGTAGACTGCTGATGCTTATTACTCAGTGCAGGTTATATGGTGGGGGCAGAGGAGGTTTTCTCACACCCCTTCAGGGACAGAATGGCTTTTATTCCTGCTTCTCGCTTGGATATAGGGGACCTTTGCCTGGGCTCTGGGGGAAGAAAGATTTCTTTCCCCTCTCCCCAGCTGCTTAACACTTTCGGGTCATATGAGAGAAGTGCTTGAGGAGCAGATAGGGTATCATGACTGTCAGTTATGAAAAGTGGCTCTTTCAGGTCTCCTGTCATGACTCAGATCTTTGTCATGTGCACCTGGTGGTTAAAACCGTATCTTCTTCTTCTTTTTTTTTTTTTTTTACAGTATCTTCATTTGAATTTCCAGCACAATGTTGACAATTATTATATTTAACTATTATTTTACACCCTTTATTACCCTTAGGAAACTTTTGACCACTTGATAGCTTTCATAACCAATTGCCTTATTTTCGTAGTTGACATTAATATAGACTTATGACAATATTGTTATTTATCCTTGCTTAAGGATGTTCAGATTATTCTGAAAGTGATAGCCGAAGAGTGTGGCTGATGTTTAAAATAGTATCAAATTTACTTTTTAATTTGTTTTAGAAGCTACTTTTAACTAGAAGAATTTTCTTAATATCAATTTATAGTTTGAACATAATTTTCTACTAGAACTTTGGTAGCAAGTGACAGAAACCCAATTCAAACAAGTTCAAGAATTATGTATTATAAGAATTGTTGTTAGGTGCCATCAAGTTGGTTCCAAATCATAGCTATCCTATGTACAACAGGACAAAACTCTACCCTCCACCATCAATGCTATGTTTAAGTCTGTTGTTGCATCCACTGTGTCAATCCATCTCCTTGAGGGTCTTCCTCTTTTTTGCTGACCCTCTACTTTACCAAGCATGATGTCCTTCTCCAGGGAATGGTCCCTTCTCCAAAGTATGTGAGAAAAAGACTCATCATTCTCCCTTCTAAGGAGCATTCAGACAAGGTGTCTTTTGAAACTTGAAGATAATGCATCCAGGCTTCGCGGAGAACTGGAACCTAAGAGTACAAATTATTAGGACTCTTTATTTCTTAACTCTGCACCTAACTGAAATTTGCTGTCATCTTCCTCTCGGTAGATAGGTCTCCCTTGGCTCCTGTGGTGCACATGGTGGCAATATTCCCACAGACAGCTCCCATGTTGTATCTTCAAATACTAACAAGAACTAATCTCTGTGTCTCGAGTCCATGAATTCAGCAGGAGAACTCTGATGATTCGGCTTGAATACTGATGGATCCAGCTTGGGTCAGGTGTCCATTCCTGAATCAACAGTGTCAGAGGCACAGGGGCTGCAGAAGGGACAGAGACCAGTCCAGGTTGGGCCTAATGCCCACGGGTGGACCAGCCAAGGCTGGCAGACAGAGTCATATTATCCAGAGTGAATACTCTAAAGTGGCTAGTTGGATTGGGTGTGGCAGGAGCTTGAGAAGATCAGGAGATAGAATTAAAGATCTAATAAAATTTTGATAAACTAGTTTAATTATAATGAGGAATCTTGAAAAGCAAAACTATGGTAACTCTTTAAACTATTGTAATGTGGTAGCATCAGAGGTCCTCTAACTTCAGGGGGAGTGATAAAAATCAAGATCAGCCCAAAGCAGATTCTTATGAGGTGAAGGTGAGACACATACCTCCATTTTCCAACCCTTTTTATCAATTCTGACACCAGTCGTCCCTCTCATGACACTCTCTACTTCTCTACTGGGTTCGATAATTCCTTGCAATGACCACACAGAACTCAAAGGCCATACTCACGATTGTGGGGTTTATTAGAGAAGTAACAGGTTACAGTTCAGGATCAGGATCAACTTGGAAGTAACAGAAACAACTCAGGAGAGGGGATACAGTTCATCAATCAGGAAAGCTCCAACCAAGGGCTTGCAGCTCCTTCTCGGCCATACCCACAGGCAGGCCACACTTGGGCCTCTGCTGCTGGCTTCTGCCCTGCTCAGGTAAGTTTTACAACTCTTTAGCTCTACTGATAAGTGCCCAGGGGCACCCCACTCTGCCAGGAAGCCTCCTGCCCAAAGGCGCTCAGCAGTCTCATCCATGGGTCAGTGAGCCCACTGCAGAGCCCTCTGCCGGTCCCTTGCTGCTGCCATCTTGTGCCACTGCTGCCTTCAATGTTACAGCGCTTTGTCTCCTGGATCTAGGAGGCTCTCAGCACAGGGACCCTGGGCCTAATGGATGTGCCCCACTCCTAGCTCTTCTTGGTGGTAGTGAGGTCCCCCCGCAACCTGTGGAATTGACTCTTTTTAAGCCTAGCGAGATGGCAAAACTGACCAATCCCCTTGGTGAGCCACAAGCACCTAACTTGCACAGTCCCACTCAATCATTTTGTGGGAATAATAAAACCATGGCCAGAAAGGGCACATAAAAAGAGAAATCCATTGCCCTGCAAATGTCCTTCTGAATATCAATGTAATATGGGTCAATGCCCTGATCTATAAAAATAACATCAATAGTGTGGTTATAACAATACAGGGGTTTACTGTGCATCAAAAATTTTCATGATACTAATATACTTTTCTTAGTTTAAGATAAAAAGTGCTTAGCAATAAACACACAAAATGTGTTGGCTTGTTCTGACTCATAGTGACCCTATAGGACAGAGTAGAACTGCCCCATAGGGTTTCCCAGGAGCAGCTGGTGGATTTGAACTGCCGACATTTTGGTTAGCAGCCGAGCTCTTAACCACTGTGCCTCGAGGGCTCTTATTAATATTTAGGTAGTTAATAAAAATAAAATAAGTAAAAACAAAATAAAAATAGTTATTACTATTACTAAAGTTTGGAAGATTCCCGTTTTATGTATATTTTTCCTAAACTGAATAGATTTATAAGACAAAAAAGGCATACTTATTTGATTCAAGGTTCTTATTGGGGCTACTCTTGCATTTGAATTGGGTCTTAACCTTTGAAATTTTTGACGTGGATGTGATTCCATTATAGAAAGTGATTTAGACTCCACTTTATGAGCCATGCAGCTGCAAAAACATCAGATACAACAACGGCTCCTGGGCTGTTGCACACCTTTCTCTAGGGCTGAAACTTTGTAAGCTAAATTATGGAGTACTTACAGGCACACATTTTTCCTGTCAGAAATATGGGGCATGTAAGATGCATTTCTGTTTGATACTAGGGCACATAGAGTTTAAAACCCACATTTTTAAAGTTAGACTGGTTAACCTTGTACAAAACTATAACATGGTGCTTTGGAATTAGAAGCAGGGAGCATAACATTTGTTGCCAAAAGGGCCGTATTTATTGACTCAACAAAGCTGTAAGGAGAAGGATTTGAAAGGCAGAACACAGTTTTTCATCTTGAGAATCATTTTTGATCTTCATCATCAGCTGTCTCACAGAACCACTTTTTTGCTTCTTTTTTTAAACTGGACATGCTAATCAATCCTATAAAATTTGAAAGGTTATGAATTTTTCATCACTGGATTGTGAGTTTAAAGTTAACTGTAAATATTTATAAATCTCTTCTTCCCAATATGTATAAAGGTAAAAGAAAACTAGAAGAATGGAACACAGTAGCATTTTGACTCTTTTTTTTTTTTATACATAAGATTTTGCAAAAAAAATTGTTTTATTCCTTAGCCCAAAGCTGAGGAAGAAAAGAGTAATGGCTCTTAAACTGTAGATATTATTTTGGAATAGGGAAACATTTCCAGTCACTGTGGCTAGAAATAAGGAATTTGAATGCTAGTGGCTTTGTTGAATTTATAAAAACACGAGCTATAGGCAATTTAAATTTAGCCTTGTCTCATCCCAAGCTTTTGAATCTGAAAAAAGCTGGGAGGCACTAGACCGTTCTGTGATAAAAGGTACTTTATCTGACAAGAAAGGAAGAACAAGGATATGTTTTCTTGTGCTTATTTGTTGGGGCTTTATTATTTCTCTAGGAAGTTGTTTTTTCTGTGGGTTGAAAAACTGTCATAAACTAGCTTTCTAAGCATATGAAAGCTATAAGAGAAAGATATATAATAACATTAGCTACCATTTTTTGCCCTTTAAAAAGTGCCTTCCTGATTAATATTTATTTGTTTATAATTTTAAAAGAAAGCAAAATGAAGGAGCTAAAATTTGACCCATGATATACTTTCTACCACTCAAAAAACGGGTTTGGTTTTGTTTCAGGATTCATTTTGGAATGAAAGGCTCCATCATGATTAATCCACTTGGGCATAAAAATAAAAATGGAGTTTCTCCTGTTTTTGAAGTGCAGCTCACCAAAGATTTGATTTGTTTCTTTGATTCATCCGTAGAACTCAGGTAAAAATAAAAGTACTTCAGCAGTGAAACTCTAACACTTGATCTACAGCTTGGTTTGGCATGTCACAAGTGTTACAAAATAAATAAAGAGGTGGTTTATGATTGATAGGAGCCCTGGTGGCAGTGGTTAAAGTACTTGGTTGCTAACCGTAAGGTTGGTGGTTCTAACCCACCAGCTGCTCCATGGAAGAAAGATGTGGCAGTCTGCTTCCGGAAAGATTACAGCCTTGGAAACCCTATGGGGCAGTTGTATTCTGTCCTACAGGTCACTATGAGTTGGAAATGGGTGGTTTTACAGTTGATAAACTCTCATTCTACTGGTACCATCAAATAATACAGTTTCTTAGGATCTTTGTTGTTTGCCTATAGAACTCTTAGGCCCTGATTAGCATAAATTGTTTGTATTTATATCAAGGCTCATTTTAAATGACACTTTTTGAAATTGTAACCAGACTTATGATTAATGTGTTTTATATTCCTTTCTGTAGAAACTCAGTGGAAAGCCAACAGAGAATAAGAATGATGGAAGAGTTAGATGTGTGTTCACCTAAATTCTGTTTCTCAAGGGCAGAAAGGGAAGTTAAAAAACAGAAAGGTCGTATGCTCTGTGATGTGTTGATGGATCAGAAAGTGCTGCCTGGGGTTGGAAACATCATCAAAAACGAAGCTCTCTTTGACAGTGGTCTCCACCCAGCTGTTAAAGTATGTATTTTTTAAACGATTTGTATATTTTTAAATACAGTTAGGGGAACAATGCGGAGCCCTTAGATCTGTGTCGCAGTAAGGCGCTGTCCCCAGACAGACTGCAGGTCGCCTACAAGTCTTTGTTCATGTCACTTTCTCACTAAGGCCCACCCTGACCACCCTACGTAAAGTTGTGACATGCATCCCTTCCTCCACTTGACATGCCCAATCTTCCCTCACCTGCTTTGCTTTTTATTTTCTTCATAACACTCACCACTTTCAAATATAACATCATAATAATTATTGTATTTGTTGTTTAAAATTTTTCTCCTGCTAGAATGTAATTTTTTATAAACTGTCTCTTTTGTTCACTGAAGTATCCCAAGGGTCTAGATAGAGCACAATGTCTGGCACATGGTAGGCATTAAATAAATACTTGTTGAAATAGGAATGAACTGAGGTCAGTTTTCTTTTCTTTCTGGCATATTAAACACACACACACACACACACACACACACACACACACACACTCATGTTTTCCTATTGATAGCTATTGGCCTATGCTGTCCACCATATAGGGTGGCGCCGGCTTTGCCCTCACCTGGCACCTGCGAAGGGGGTGGAGGTAGGCACCCACAGCACACAGTCCAGCTCGGGGACAGAGCTTGGTTCCACTGCTCTGCCTGGGCAGGGTGGGAACCGAGCTGTTAATGCACAAAGCAGTCAGATATTAGATTTTTTAATATTGTCATAAATGGGAAATATCACACGAGACAGTCAATAAGTGAGGAGCAGGTGTATTTTAGTTTACAAGAAAAAACTCAACCTTACCACTTTTATCTAGATCTGAATACCAAACCGTTGGTGTCCAGTTGATTTCCAATCATAGCAACCCCATAGGACAGGGCAGAACTGCCCCATAATGTTTCCAAGGAGTGGCTGGTGGATTTGAACTGCCAACCTTTTGGTCAACAGCCGTCGTATCTCTTCACCACTGTACCACCAGGGCTCCACAGATCTGAATAGCCTCTATTAACTAATATTTTTTTTCCATGAATCCCAGAGCACCTGTTTTATTTTGTATACATGTTTCATTGATGTTGTTGTTGTCGTTAGGTGCCATCAAGTAGGGTTTGACTCATAGCAACCTCATGTACAACAGAACAGAATGTTGCCCTGTCCTTACGGATAGCAAAGACTTTTTCTTGATAGTCTAACTAAAATCTAAGTCAGTAGAAATTAACTTCTGAAAGAAACCAGTTAATGCTAGTTCTAGATGAGCTTCTGCTTTTGACATTTGAACACTGTAGTCAGGATTTCTATAATATGGCAATAATGAAATTTTAACAAGAATGAGCTTTTAGAAATCACTTGGACCTCTTTGGGAAATGCTTTTAAAAAATACCAGAGTATTGTTCTTACCTAAGATAAACTGAGAATTTGTTTTTTTTCTGTCTGTTCATTCATCCAGACATTCATCTAGTAAAAGATTGTTTACCCATAATGTCTGAGGGCATAAAAATTAATGACATTTCTGAAGTTTAGCTATTAGTCCCTTAAAAGCATACACATAATTATTGAAAAAGTACAGTTTAATATTTCAAGGTGTGACTTAATATACCATATAAGATATAGTAAGGAATAAATGAATTTTAGAAGTATGTATGGCTTAAATTTATGTTTAATTTGATATACAATAATAAACAATTGTATGTATGTATACATATATTTATATACTTACAACAAGGGTAAGGCATCAGACAATTTCATGAAAGTACTGTTAAAAGCACGTGTATCAAATGATAATTAATTCTGCCATAACACTGAGATTTATGCCAGGTTTTGTCACAAAAAAAAAAAAAAAATTCCTCAGTAATGTCTGTTTCCAAGTTCTTCCATGTGTTAGCAAGCACTTTGATATTAATGCATGTTTATAAATTCATATCTTTTAAAAGTTTGATGATAGTGACGTTGATGGTCATCTACTCTAGTTCCTATTTTTTTCCTTTCCTTCTTGCTTTCTGGGTTTTTTTGTTGTTGTTTTTGTTTTCTTATTTTTCAAATCGAATAAGAGTTTTCAGGGTGACTGATAGAAAATGCTGGAAATTTGAAGGTACCTTATACAGAATAGACATTCAATAAAAACTTGAATTAATTAAAATTTAAAAGTGAGAATGGTAGTGTTTATCTGTAGTACCACCACTACAACTATTGTTCATTACATTAAATAGAAATATGAGAAATGGAGTTTTAGAAGATATGCATATATTTTTAAACCTATTTACAGTATCTAACAGAACTGGCAACTTTGTTTTTTTTTTTTAAGTAGTGAACAAATTATGAAATTATCTTTCCATTTTAAGGTTTGTCAGTTAACAGATGAACAGACCCTTCACCTTGTGAAAATGATCCGTAATTTCAGCATTCTGTTTTACAGGGTAAGAACAAAGTTCTTCAACTGTGTAAAATGTCAGTGGTTTCCCTTTTGATGGCACCAAAAATGTCAAAGTTGCATATAGCCATCTAGTGGTAAGGGTATAGAGGTACAATGAAGGAGAGTGGCATTTTGGGGGCATAATTAATGCTATGAGACTCTCTAAATCATAAGTCAGTCTAAACTTGTCTAATGATAATTATATGAAATTATCTTATACTAAGTTGAGGAGCAACTACATTAGCGTTTTTCTTGGATTCTTGTTCTATTTTTGGACACATAAAAGTAAAATATAGAAAGCCTATTGACCCTATACTTTGCAGTAAATAGATTTCAGTGTAAGTCCAGGCTTTGCCACTTACTATCTGTGTGACTTAGGTTATTGAGATAACTTTATTTAGGTTTAGTTTCTTCATTTGTAAAATGGGATAATAATCTTTCTCTGTCTACCACAAGACTGTTTTAAGAATGAAATAAGCGCTTGCTAAAATGTGAATTTTGAATGTTGTATGTATGTATATATAGAAAACCAAAAACCAAACCCATTGATCTGGAGTCAATTCTGACTCATAGCCACCCTAAAGGACAGAGTAGAACTGCCCCCAGAGGGTTTCCAAGGAACTGCTGGTGGATTCGAACTGCTGACCTTTTGGTTAGCAGCCAAGCTCTTAACCGCTGTGCCACCAGGGCCCCATCTTTTAAACAAAGTATCGTGAATGTCTGGTATTTTTCTCCACAGTCCTTCTTCTGTAGTCAACATTTTTAGTTTGATTATGTTCAGAAAGCAGATATTGTTCATTCTTCATCAATTGGCCTAAAGTGTTATGGACCTCTTGCTTCATAAAGCTGCCTTGAGTAACTGGCTGCTTTTTAATTTTATATGCTCATTTGCTCTTCCAGGGAAAGATGATTATAGAAAACTGCCCATTTCCTTCCCAGATTAAGTTAAGCATTTCAATACTTTGCTTAAATTAATATAAGTTATTTGTGTAATTTCCAGCTTATACATGGTGAGCCATATTTCTGGGCTTTTAAATTTTCACATTGCTGATGTAAACCCAAAATATTCTTTTTGTAAGAGCTTTAAGTGTATGTGAGTAGAATAAAACTTTGACAGAAAATATCAAAAGTCTTTTGAAATAGAACGTATATCAAAATGGAACATGTTCTCTGCTAGAATGGCATTTGAATATTTATTTTCTTTTTTAGTAATTCTGTAAGATTAAAAAAGAAAATCTGTCCTTTGTCAGGTCCGCAAAGAAGATGATCTTGTTAAATTTTGCCCCTAGAAATAAATGTTTTGGCTGTTGAAACTGACTGAGCAGCTTAAGTTTTCTAAGAATAATTAGGTTTAAAGGTAATCTAATCTTTTTTTTTAATAACCACATAATTATGTTTAATTAAAAAAACTGAAAGCATGAAAGACATTTTAAATTATAAAACCTTTATATACCATTTAGATAAGAGGGTAAAACTATGCAAAGAACAATTTTGAATACTGTTAAGTTATAAAATAATGACTTAAGTATTTCACACAAATCTTTTTTGTCAAATAGGGCCGATTCTTGTCAATACCTTTTTCTCAGTTAAAAGAAAAGCCTATATGCACATAAATACAAACATGTAAATTTTTAACAGATTATTTTCAGAGATGACTTTCAATAATATATGTTCGACTGTTTAGCAACACTGTTTTTGTGGATAACAAGTTAATTTTTGTTTTGGTTTGGTTTTGCTTGTTTTTTATTTAGTGCAATAAAGCAGGGTATGCTGTCTCCAAACACTATAAGGTTTATAAGCGTCCTAACTGTGGTCAGTGCTGCTGCAAAATAATTGTGTGTCGCTTAGGGGAGAATAACAGAATGACGTATTTCTGCCCTCAGTGTCAAAAAGAAAATCCTCGACATGTTGACATAAGGTAAGACGATTTTTTCTTTTTCCCAGCTGTTGTTCAGCTGAGCTAACTCATGGTGACCGCATGTATGTCAAAGTAGAACTGTGTTCCATAGGGTATTTCGTGGCTGATTTTTGGAAAGCAGATTGCCAGGCCTTTCTTCCGATATTGAGTTTAAAGGGATATTATTTGCTCCCAGTTGTCTAACTACCAGGTATTAACAAATGAACATAACTGAAAAGTATTTGAACCCTTGGAAAGAGATAGGAAATAACATCAGCAAAGAACCAGAAGGGGCCAAAGATGATTTATGGATGACTTCTGAAAATCTCTACCTCTGGTGTTAATTTCCAGCCTTCAGCTTTAATCTACTTTGTGAAATAAGTAGATGAAGGCTTCAAGTTGTTGAACAGTAAAAGCTAGTTTTACAGGTAGGAGGGGACCAACAATGAGTTACTTTTCTCTAAACCACTCCCTGTCCCCTTCCTCTCAGCTTCTTCATCCCATTTTATTGTCGTTGTTGATGTCGTGTGCCACGGAGCTGATTCTGACTCATAGCGACCCTATAGGACAGAGTAGAACTGGTACATAGGGTTTCCCAGGCTGAGATCTTTACAGGAGCAGATCACCAGGTCTTTTCTTCCACGGAGCTGCTGGTGGGTTTCAACCATGAACCATTCAGTCATAGAGATCTAAAATATGTTTAGATAATTCATTATATTGTACAGTTTTAAAGTTTTCTTCTTTCTCATAAATAAGAACCACTTTTCATAATATAGGTGCACATATTTTAAAGTGTTAATAAAGCAAAAAAAAAGAAGTGTTAAAATATTTTTAAAAGTGTCATTTTTTAAAGTGTTGAAAAGCAAAGATGTCACCTTGAGGACTAAGGTGCACCTGACTCAAGCCATGGTATTTTCAGTTGTCTTATATGCATACGAAAGCTGTACAGTGAATAAAGAAGCCTGAAGAAGAATTGATTGGTTTTGAATTACGGTGTTGGCAAAGAATACTGAATATACTATGGACTGCCAGAAGAATGAACAAATCTGTCTTTGAAGAAGTACAGCCAGAACGTTCCTTAGAAGCAAGGATGGCAAGACTTCATCTTACGTACTTTGGACATATTATCAGGAGGGACTAGTCCTTGGAGAAGGACATCATGCTTGGTAAAGTAAGTGTCAGCGAAAAAGAGGAAGACTGTCAACAAGATGGATTGACACAGTGGCTGCAACAATGGGTTCAAACATAGCAATGATTATGAGGATGGTGCAGGACCGGACAGCGTTTCCTTCTGTTGTACATGGGGTCACTGTGAGTCAGAGCTGACTCAATGACACTTAACAACACCAGCTGTACATTTACTTGACCAAATGCATTTAACACAGTATACCTGGCATATAGAAGACATTCAATATACATTTATTGTTCAAATTAATGATTAATGTTCAATATTTGTTTTCTATGAATGGATAGCTTTTAAGATTTAAAAAAAATCTTTATTCTTCCAAATCGAATAAATATGTCATTTCTCATGTAAATAAGATAACTGCCAATTCCAAAGTTTTATAAAACTGGATTCTAAGTATTCAAGGGCTCCCTGAAAGAGCCTTAGAGGTCATGTATGGGTTAGGGGAGGCCATGCAACTCTGAAAATGTTCTGGGCCCTGCACCCCTTCCCCTACCTATGCTACTTCTGTTTTACATACTAGCATTCAGTTTAAGACTTTATTTGAAAAAGCAAGTATCCACTACAAAATAAATATATACCTAATAAAGAAAAAGTTGGGAAACCATCATTGTTTGCCATATTCTTAGTGTTTTCTGTGACTAAATATATTTCACTCATATTCTGGATTAGTATTTGAACACTTTATGTTGACTAAACTTTCTCATTTTAATTTAAAGCCATCTCAAGTGAAGCTGAAGTCTGAAAGGCCCAAATGCAGTGGCCTAAATCCTTGTGCTCCTTCAATCACTGAAAGCTTACTTAACTCCTTCCGGAAGTCCTCCCCAACTTTCCCAGGTTACACTGATCACACCACACTTGAAGTTCCTATGCCATTTCTTGCTGGCTCTTTATTATGTACTAGCTATGAATCTAAGTTTTGTTTCGTTTAGGAGAAGGTTTCTGGCAGTATTCTTTGTTTTTAACAAATATTTATTCGAGTTTACTATATGCCAGGTATCAGGAATACAAAGACCAAACGGAATACAGGCCCTCAAAGTGCTCAGGGTCTAATGTGGGGAGTTAATGGATAAACAATATCCCATGAAAGTTCTGCAAAAAGATTGTTTGTATGAATGGAAATGGAAGTATAGAGGAGGAAACCCTTAAATCATCCTGGGAAGAGCAAGGTAATCCTTCTGAAAGAGGTGACATTTGAGCCCAGATGGAGGGAAATAGGAATTCATCAAAGACAAGAGGTGGGAAAGGGGTTTCCTGGAAGAGAGAACAGTATGCGGAAAAGTGCACGGGGAGAAAGGTGTAGTGCCTTGTCAAACTGAGTAAAGAGGATATTTTGTTCCTATAAGAAGATGTATTCAGGTCTTTCAAAACCATCTAGTTCGGAGATTTGCTGACAGTTGTTTGGTAGTTAATGAGAACTTAGTGTTGTTTGCAACCAGTTCTGGAGGCAGGTCTGAGGTAGCAGAGCTTTTTGAGGGGGTAGAGCAATTAGGGCACTTGGGAGAGCTGAGGAAAACGTGTGATGGGTTATTCTTGACAGGATAACCTTGTTTGGAGAAGCAAGTTTGATTGCATAGCTGCCATGTTCAAAAACAATTCAAAAGGGATTCTTTTGACTACAAGGAAAGGAAGCCAACTCAAATTAGCTTAAACTAAAAAGGGAATGTATGGCTTATAGAGCAACAGTGAATATATGGGTAATTTTCAGGATTAACCGAAAAGCTGCAAGAACCAGACCCTCAGAGACTGGTAGGTACCCTGCAGGTGACCTTGCCTGGGCTCTCCATAGATAGAACAGGTAGAAAGTCTACAGGCTTCCTGCCTAAACCTCATACCTCGAGCCTCATAATAGTAGGCTCCTTTCGGTTTCAATGGAAGGATATCATTCTAGAGAGCTTCGGGAAGTGTCTGTGCTCCATGTCTAAGGAAGCCAGAGTAGACTGAATGAACTAGCAATTGAATTCAAACCTTCCTTAAATGCTATGTTATTTTGCATAACTTTCTTTTGTTTTATTGACATTTATATTGGTATTTGTTAATGGTTCATTTAGACAAAGCAAAATTAAGTGTCTCCTGTGGTAATAACTAGTCTGTATTATACATGCCTGAGAAATGCAGAATCCTTAGAGACAGTGTCCCCCTCTACTTGTATTTTATGCCTTCAGTTTTTGAGAGTAAAGCCCCTCCCGAAAAGGAGCCTACAAAACACTATCATAGAAGCTAAGGTGGGACATGATGGAGAGAGTGAAATTCTACCAAGTTAGAGAAGATGAGGCTTGAGCAAAGGCCATTTTTTTGAAGACTGGGAAATCAAGATGATTTTCAAGAGAGCAAGTTTAACAGAGATATAGGGGCAAAATTCATTCATGAAACCTATATTTATGGAATATTTATAAAATAACAATAGTCCAGTGGGAGGAGATAGGTTGAAGTCAAACATATATGTATAACATATCTAAGGGAGCCCTAGTGACAAAGCGGTTAAATGCTCAGCTGCTAACTGAAAGGTTAGCAGTTCAAATCCACCAGCCACTCTGAGGGAGAAAGATGTGGCAGGCAGTTTGCTTCCATAAAGATTACAGCCTAGGAAACCCTATGGGACAGTTCTACTCTGTCCTCAGGGTCACTGTGAGTCAGAATTGACTCGACAGCAGTGGGTTATAAGGTGTCAGGCAAAGATAAGGAGCCATCAGTGCTCTGAAGAAGCATCAAGCAGGCAAGGGGATGGATTCTGGTAGGAAAGGTTCATTCTAGGTAGGGCGGTTGCTGAGGTCCCTGAGCAGGAGCTATTTGAAAAGACCTCATGACTGGTGAAGGTCTGGGATAGGGGAGAAATACTGAAGAAACTGGCACAGAAAGCACGAAGCGCCTGACGCGTTCAAGTAAGAGAAAGAAGACAAACGTGACTGATCAAAGCAGGAGAAGTGAGGGGCTGAGGACTCGCTCTTCCTGGGAGGGCCTCATAGGCCATGGCAAGGAATTTTGCTTTTATTCTGAGTGTGATGGAAAACTGTTCCAGAGTTCTGAGCAGGAGTGAGCATCTGATTTAAAAAGATTGTTCCGGCTGACGTGGGGGAATTAAGTGAGGTGGGCCAAGAAGCTGTTGGAAGGTTTTGAGCAGAGGGGTGCCATGATCTGACCTGTGTTTTGCGAGGATCATTCGGACGATTGTGTGGAAAAAAGACTGTAGAGTGACCGGGGTGAAGCAGTTACATCGGGCCTGTCAGCAAAAGTCCAGACGATAAATGAGGATGGCGTAGAGGACAGAGGGAACAGTAAAAAATGGGTAACTTTAGGATATTTTTAGAAGGTGGGGTCAGGGTAAGGCCTGAAACTTATATAACTTAGGGGCTTTCTTTATGAAAAAGAATGTAAAATTATGAATGCAAAGTTAGGTTCTAATGTGAATATTAGAATACAAAGAGAAATCACAACCAATTACAATTTTTAAATACCATAAGCATCAGAGAAGTCAGATCTTATTTATTATTACTAGTTAACTGCCTGACACACCTATATAATTGCTTTTCTATATGTTCTAGCTGTACACTCCCTGATTGCCTTGTCATATAACCATCAAAAATATCATTAGATTTTTTTACAGCTTTGTCTTTTGGCTTTACAATTGGCTATTTGATAATAACACATCTCTAACTGCCTCTATAATATTTGCTCAAGCAATACTTCTTGTCCAATAAGGAAGCCCTTAGAATAGTGGTTCTCAAACTTATAAGTGATTCAGAATCTGCTGGTGGGCTTGTTAAAACACAGATTGCTGGGCCTCACACCCAGAGTTTCTGATTCAGTGTCTGCATTTCTGACAGGGTGATGCTTATGCT